GGGGGGGTGGGGGCTCCCTGTGGGCCGCAGGATACCGTACAGGACAAGTTTCAGCCTGCCTTTCACATGACTGCGCGCCTCTTAGAATAGAATCGCTTAGTGTCATTATACAGGTACAATGAGATGAGTAGAGCTACTGGTGCTATCGAAAATACAAACAACAACAAGAGACGTACAACATTCAGGAGAAGACAACATACAAACAACAAGCATTCATACTTCAATATGCAGATAGTGATCATGTCTGTTTTTCTGTGCAGAGATTTGTATGTTGTTCAAATCAAATGTACCTACGGGTACAAATAAATAACCTTAACCTAATATATTATTCTGGAATGGAACAATTTGCATAATCTGTACTTTTACTTTTGGTTATTTAAGTATATTTTGATGCTAATACTTTTGTACTTTAAGTAACATCAACATTTTGAATGTAGGACTTTTACTGTAACAGAGTATTCCTACACTCTGGTACTTCTACTTTTACTCAAGTACAAGATCTGAGTACTTCTACTTCTACTGAAGAACAAGATCTGAGTACTTCTACTTTTACTCAAGTACAAGATCTGAGTACTTCTACTTTTACTCAAGTACAAGATCTGAGTACTTCTACTTTTACTCAAGTACAAGATCTGAGTACTTCTACTTTTACTCAAGTACAAGATCTGAGTACTTCTACTTTTACTCAAGTACAAGATCTGAGTACTTCTACTTTTACTCAAGTACAAGATCTGAGTAACTTTTACTCAAGTACAAGATCTGAGTACTTCTACTTTTACTCAAGTACAAGATCTGAGTACTTCTACTTTTACTCAAGTACCAGATCTGAGTACTTCTACTTTTACTCAAGTACAAGATCTGAGTACTTCTCCCACCTCTGCCCTCTCTTCCTCTTGCGTCTTCATGCTGCCTTGCCCATGTGACATATTCCTTATCTTCGTGTTGCCTTTCTTATATAACACTGTGTTCATCCCTACTTCTTACACCTTGTATGTTCTTCCCTCCTCATCCAGTGGTCTCCAGGAGTCGTTAAACCAGAACTTCCTGCTGGTCATCAGCCACCGGGAGGCCCAGAGGGACTACAGTCTCAACTTCCCCGGCTCCAAAACCATACAGGAGGTACGACACACACACACACACACACACACACACACACACACACACACACACACACACACACACACACACACACACACACACACACACACACGCACACACGGTCTCAGTAACTCACCCACACACCCTCACATGCATAATATTATTCTACCTGATTCTAGTTTCCCGTAACACAGCTTTCATTCCGTTTGCCAAACATTGCTAGTCTATCTCAGCCATCGATTCATTATTCATTACAAATGATCACATTTCCGAGCACATAATTACTCTCACAGCTGCGGTCTGGTACCACCCCCTCTTTCTCTCCCCACTCCCCCTTTCCCTGCGTCTTTCTCCCTCTCTCTCAGCAGTCTAGAGGGCGATTTAAATACTGAACATTGTTTAATCTAGGCATGCGGGAGCAGTGGAAACAGACAGTCCATTGATTTTCCTCATAGGAAACTAAACAGAAGCCTCTGAAATATTAATAGTAACTCATACTGGACCCAGTGTGACGGCAGTACACTTATTGACCATTAGTTATTCAATTCAAATAGCTTTATTGGCATGACCATAATGACATATTGCCAAAGCTTTGTACAATTAGGACATATACATACAAAATGAAGAGTATATTATGTATACATGTTATTACTCTCAGCTGCAAATGCATGAAAATACATGTGCTTGCTTGCCTAAATGATTAGATATGATAAACACATTCCATGAAAGGTTACCCCCACAGTGTGTGGCTTGCTGTCACAGGTGAGGCGAAATAAGCTCCCCAAAGACTGATCAGGTAAACGAGAGGTGTCCCATTACGGATTCAACCTCACATGTTAAGTTATTATCATTTGCACCATATATAGGGTTTATAGAAATATCAGTCTTTAGCTGTTTTGAGCCCCACGCCATCATTTTGGACGTTATGTTTTTGAGCTCTGTACAAAAAGTACAATTTTAATAAAACTGGGTGGCGGGGTGTAGAATGAACCGGGGAGTAACCGCTTACATTTTTGAACAGATACGTTATTTATTACTTCTTCACATTGGGGCATTTGTGCTGCATTCTGTGGCGTCAGAATAATCAGAAAGGGGAAGTATTTTACAATATTAAATCACGTTTAATTGACCTGGTGCTTTGCGACTGACTAATTAGTGCAATAAACCATACAAACTCGTAACTGTAAGAAACCTGCGTGTACACTTAATTTAAATAAGCAAAATCAATGTGAGTGCTGGTGCATTACTCTTAATTAACCCATTCTTTAAATTACTACAACATTTGAAGTGTGTTTGAGAGTTGACTAAGGTGCAGTGGAAACAGGTGGAGTTCTTTTTAAAAGCTCATGGACCAACATCGGACGATTCCCAACTAAAAGGAATCTTACCACAGTGTAGATTTACTACCTACACGTAAAAGCTGTGCATCACATACGTAACTTAAGCAAAAGTATTGGCAGACAAATATATTTAAGTTCCAAAGTGGCCATTTTAAAATAATATATATTATATCACTGGTTTGAAATGATTGATGTGTTACATTTTGCAGCTGGTAAAAGACGAGTTAACACTAATAATAAGTAACTTGTTATATTGCCACGTATCTCCATCCCTAATAGTACATCATAGTGTATTAGCTGATTTCATTTTTGTGTTAATGATTCAAAATAAATGTTACGTCGTAAGAAGTACGATATTAGCTGCCAAAATGTATAGTTTAATGTCTGTAAGTATAAAGTAGTATACAATGAAAATACTCAAGGATAGAACATGTATCTAAAAAATATACTTAATTAGATTTTTTAGTACATTTTGTAAAACGGGGACCATCTGAGCAGCGTGCACCAGTGGCCTCTCCGGGGGTGCCGTTCGTTTGTTTTACTTCTTCAGAGTCTCCATGTTTTAACATCCAGCTAATTATTTACTTTCCAGCAGCAGCGAAAGGTGTTCCTCTTACGCTTCTTCGCTCTCTGCGTCCTCTCAGCGTGGGTGAAGATTACACTAATAATAATCAGGCTACTAGCCGGGCTTGTAATGGTGGTAATTGAACAGATTAGTACAAACTGGAGGAGGCAGTTTCTCTCCCTCGATATTCCTTCTCCTCCTCCCTCCGTCTTCTCTCTCACCCTCTTCTCAGGCAGATGGTTTTGATGAGCACCCGCTGTGAACCTTAAGTGTTTCTGCTGGGATTACAAACACTGGGGAGGGGTCCCTGCAGTGTGGGAGGGGGGAAGCATGGACACAGAAAGGAGGCAAAGGACTGTTGGCTTGGTGGGGGTGCTGTAAGAGGCCATAGGGGATGGAGAGGGGACAATGTGGGCTTAAACAGGCCTTCATGTCGCGCTCCTTTCCTTACGCATGCTTGTCTTTAGGCATCTCAAGGCCCCCTGCAGGGAAAATGAGGCCCACAACTTTAACCTGCAAAGATCTGCACTCTGTTTGCCCCATGTTGACCAAGCTCTTTATTATTTACTCTTTAGCCAGGGGACCGGCGTCCTTCCTTTTTTATTGCTGCAACGTGTTGGCAAATAATATCAGAAACAGAATCCGGCTAATTGCTACGGAGGTTTTCAAATACGACAATTACTTTGGTGTAATGGTGCACAACATAAACACAGTCAAATTATCATTATTATATTATTATAATAAACAAAAATAGGATTTTAAACCATATTAAAAAAAAATAGAAATTTGTAAAAACAGCTTAAGAATAGAGAAAGAGAAAACTAATGACATATTAATGTTAAATAATATATACAATACATCCCAATTAAAGTGGAGAGGTTAAGAAGTCTCCATAATAGGTTCATAGTTCAGAAGATTTTCCTACACATGTAAATAAACTCTTGACCACTTTCCACACCGACAGTGAAGTTGAATCTATTCTAAATGTAAGTTTTGTGCAGAAATGGGCAACATTATCATATTTCAAATTTCTTCAGAGGAATGTGTCTTGGTGCAAAGTATACTGTTTTAATCGGTGTAACTCAAACCGAGAGTACACACTATGTAGGGAACACTTCTAAGTGTGTAGGACTCAGAGCTGCGAGCTACAGGTAGTCAAAGTAAATCTGTTTTAGGATCCATGTTGAGTTAGCTTGTGAAGATTTAAAGCAAAAACAATAATAACAGACCAACACAACAGAGGGAGTCCTGACATCATAAGAAGACTTAAGAAGGCAACAAAGAAGTAACAGCATATTCAGTCGGCCTGACTCCCCTTTCTGCTCAAACTGTGTCCACTCTCAGACACATATGGACTCCACTACAGAGCACCTTTCTCTCCTTTCTCCCCTTTGTCTTAGCTGAAGACTAGCCGATGGTCCCTGCTTGTGCATATCAATGGGGATAGAGTCCTGTCTTCTTGTTTGTCTTTGCCAAAGGCTCTGGCTTTGCCTTGTGGCTCTCAGGGATCTGCCCTTGCCCCTCCCTTTCTATCCCTTCATTCTCCATCTTCCCCTTCTCTACCTTCTTTCTTCTCCATCTCTGCACTGTGTAGACTCTGATTGGCGTTACCAGACAAGAGTGTGGGGGTAAGTTGCTGGCTAGCTTCTGAGCTAAGCTGCAGAGCAAATGTTTGCCAGCGAAGTAGAGGGTAAGAATGGGGATGGCTGCTGGTTTCGGGGTGTCCGTGACCAGACCAGTTGTCCTGGGGATTTCCCTCCTCTGGGCCTGGGCCCCATCTCCACTCCGCAGCTGGGAGACATGGAGAGATACAGGGCTGCAGAGCTGAGAAGAAGGGAAGGTCGGATCGAATAAAATAATGAAAGAAAAGGCATCTGGCGCCTAAGGGAGACGAAGAAAGACGGCGAGCGAGAGCTTGTGACTGTTTAACGGAAACCTTTCCCCCTCTTTGATTCGCTTCCAGCCAGGGATTACAGGCAATTGGCATTTACAATGATTGGATCATTAATTCTGCCGTGAGGCGTATCGCCCAGCAGCCCAGCACCACAGCCAGTCTGACTCATGTTGTGTGTAACTGGCTCGTTACACCCCTGTCTCATCTCAACACACAAATCAACAGCTCCGTATTTGTTACTAAGACTTGGATTTAAATCCTGCTCTTTTACATTTTAGTGTCTTTATATCCAAGTCGCTTTGGTGCCATGTTCTGCGGAAATGCGGTTTGGATCCAGCCGTAAAGTGCAGGAGGTTTCAATACATGCACATATCAGATCTATGTGCTATAAAGTATAAATATGAATACATGTATTTTGATAAGAGCATACACATATAAACCGGTGCAGGGTTTATTACGCTACGTACAGCCCAGTGTCATATATTCTTAAAATACTCATTTTTAAAAAGCCAAACACGTTTTCAGCTGTTCATTCTCCGTAAATCTACGTGCTACTAAAACTAGTGAATGAAATACAATTGTGTTTGTTTGTTGCAGTCTCTGTATGTTATCAGTGAGATAGCAGCAGTGGCAGACAGGGGGCAGCATCAGACTTTATTGCTGCTCGTATGCTGTGGCCATCACATGCAATGCTTTGCAACAAAAACTGAAGCTACCTGCAGAATCACAGACGAGACATTGTGTCGCCCTGTGTCGTCGGTGGTGTTCGATATGTGGCTGCATCAGATTCTCCTAACTGCAGCAAACCTTTCCTGTGGTGTGTCTGCAGATTCTGCTTGTGTAGTTTCAGGTGTGTCTTGTCTGTGTTGAGTCCAGGTTGTCCTCTGCCAGGTGCCTTTCTCTGTCCGTCTGTCTCCCCCTTCCTCCTCCTCCTCCACCTCTCACCTTCATCCTCTCCATGGTGGGCGTCAGTTTGTTGTTTCTCTGATGCTGCTTTAACCTCTGACTGCTGCCTCTTCATTACTAGTGTTTATGCCTCTCCTTTCCTCCCTCTTTCCCCCTCTATTCATCTGCTGGCCAGCCGGTCAGTCAAATCCCTGTAGTCCGGCTGGTCAAACACAGATATTACACTCTGTAATAACACTGGCCACCCGCTCTGACCCCAGTCTGCCATCCTGGCCGTGGCTTCTCTTCATAAGAGAGGCAGCGAGCAGTGTGCTGTGGGATTTACGAGAGAAAGACAAAAGGGTGGACTGTGCCACTCATTTATTATTGTTCTTTTATTTGTTTCTCAACCTTGTTTGTACTTTAAATTGCTTTGCAGTGCCAGGCCCAGCACAAATGAAATATCGCTTCCTCAAGAGATTGATAAGTTTGATAAAAGTATTTACTGTTGCCTTTAATATAATCAGATCTGTAAGCGGCCCCTAATGTGTTCTCTCATACACCTACAGAAGTAAATATAAGGGCTGTGTGATTAAAACAACAACAACAACAACAACAACAACAACAACCGTATCATGATTATTATGACAGATATTGCTATTATGATCACAAACATTTTTCACACTATCATTTCAAAATATAATGAAATAGGCAAGTTTATTTATATAGCACCTTTCAACACAAGTGCTTTACAAAATGAAAGATTGAAAGAAAATGGCATTTCAAAACAGTCATTAAAAAGCAAAGATAATAAAATAAACATTAAATACATATGTTTCCAAAAGGATCTGTACCCATTAAGGATTTAGTATTAAGTCTGAAGTAGAATACTCGCACCATAATGCTTCAACTGGATATGTTCACATTGTTTTCTATCAACAAATTGTGTTTACTGCGATATGAATGTTGCAGATTGTGACTTTGATACCCCTAGTACATTTGCAGATGAAAAATGTACCGGTAGTTGAAATGATAGTTTTAAGAAGAAGGACCCAGGCAGAGCACGCCCCCGCAGTCTCCTCCACTCAGTGTTCTGCAGCTGCTTTCCTGCTTTGCTTGACATTGGCTTTGACTTTGTGTTTGTAGCGTATTTAAGTTTCCACCTCCGTGCCCAGCAGCCCTGCATATGCCCAAGGATCCATCTCTCTGCAGTGCTTTTTACAAAGACAGGATTTGACCCGTTTGCACAGGGATCTTCGCTCCACAATTGACAGTTTTCTCAGCATCAGTGTCCAGCGCCGCGGGCCTCAAAAGGCCGAATTCTGCAGAACAAATGCAGTAGAATCCACGGCCGCCAGCGCTCAGACGCCGACGGGGGCTTTGATCAGCTTTCGGCTGGCGCACATCAGGCTGGCGTGAGGGCTTTAAACCAACAACCCAGTGGACGGTGTAACGCGGCGGCTGGCTGCTAACTGTTTAAAAGCATGGAATGTTATTAAGTGATGCAGATACAGCGTCCGCGCATGAATGGGGAAAGAGAAATACTGTTCATTTCAGAGCGTGGGGCTGTTGTTGCTGGGCATTAGCTGTGGCATCTGAAGAATGCTGATAACACTGCCTGTCGTTTTTTATTTTCTTTCTCCTCCTCTCCCCTTTTGACTCATCTCCTCCTTCATTCTCTGCCTCCATCCTCATGCTGCTGAATGGAGGGTACTTTGATGTTGCCCCAGACATTGTATATACTTTGATTTAGCCCCAGACATTGTATAAACTATTAAATAAGGCATTTATAGTTATGTTATTACTTCATACTGACTGAGATGGTAAATAGACCTAAGAAATGTAATTGAAATATGCATTAGTCCAATATTAAATCCACGTAAGCACAATATCTATCAAAGGCTGAATATGTGTTAAAATACCATTTTGAATCCCTGCCTTATTCTACAGATTTAACAAAACATATATTTATTTACCACCGTGATCATTTTAATACGTTTTTCAATGCTAATGTATTGCAATATAAATCTAAAGTTAGTAATTTAACTGTGTATTCTGAATTGTACGGCCCTGATGGAATAAAGCATATATATAATCTTCATAAAAAGTCTGAATGGAGTTTGATAGTTGGGCTTTTTGTATTTGATCTCTTGTAACTCCTTAATATTCACCAATAATTAGATCTTTCTTTCTGTGTTTGCAGGTGAAGAGAAACGTTTCAGACTTGACCAACATCCCAGTCCGGCATCAACAGTGGGACGGATGGCCCGCCTCAGCATCTGATGACTCGGTAAGAAACACATTAAAACACACAGTATAACGTTTGTTACCCAGCCTTACAATAACAGGAACAAATGTAGCATCTTCCTTCACTTCTCTGAGTACTATAAACGCTACCTCACTCATTCTGTGATCCACGATAATGACCTTCTGTTCAGAAAAAGCCCATTGTTCCCAAATGATCGATACACCTCATTTTAGTACCAATAGTGGAAACAGTTCCACAGTCTGTCGGACGTCACGAAACCATCTGTCAGAAGCATGAGAGTAAGATGTTGGAGCTAATTAAGATGTCAAAGACGGTTCCCATCCTGCGTCCTCTTATCTGTGGACATTAAAGCTCACATCATTGAGTCCCGATGACCTCTCCCGGCCAGGGGTCGCTCTTCCCAGCCATTCACAGTCAGGCTGATCTGAAGCGGCCCTCACACAGAACCTTGAGGAACCTCTGACCCCTTTTGTCTCACCCCTTCTTTGACAGCCTATGTGTTCCCATGCTAATTGTATGGGATGGTTTATCATGCTACATTGAGGAGCTGTTGTGCACACATTCTTGTGTTAACACCTAGCTAACGTTTTCCTTTTTAGATCTGTGCGATTGTTTGGTTTGAAATATTGGTATTGACTTTGTCTCCGAGTGGTATCGTATGTGCAGAACTAGCTCTACTGTAGCAACTAGACTACAGATGATCTGTATATCGTGGTATTGTACATTTTTAGCTATTATTTAGCTGCCGTCTGCAATAATACTTTCCAACACCTCACCTCTGGCCGGCAGAGAACTCACTGCTACAGAGTTTGAGTTTCTCCTTTCTTATAAAAGACCTGTAGTATTTTGGATCCTGTAGTATTTTTGACTTTTTATTTCTATCTCTCTATCTCTCTATCTCTCTATCTCTCTATCTATCTATCTATCTATCTATCTATCTATCTATCTATCTATCTATCTATCTCTCTATCTATCTATCTATCTATCTCTCTCTATCTCTATCTCTCTATCTATCTCTCTATCTCTCCATCTCTCTCCATCTCTCTCTATCTCTCTATCTCTCTCTCTCTCTCTCTCTCTCTCTCTATCTCTCTCTATCTCTCTTCTCTCTCTCTCTATCTCTATCTCTCTCTATCTCTATCTCTCTCTATCTATCTATATCTCTCTCTCTATCTATCTCTCTCTCTCTCTATCTCTCTATCTATCTATCTCTCTCTCTCCCTCTCTCTATCTCTCTATCTCTCTCTCTCTCTCTTTCTATCTCTCTCTCTCTCTCTCTCTCTCTCTATCTATCATAAGAATAACCTATTTTCTTTATACATTGTTTTAGCGTTATATAACTCAATTTTGGTTCCAAAACTCAAAGTGAGTGAACAATAATGGCACCTGCTGTTATTCCTCGAAAGAAAGCTTTGGAGATTAACAGTGAGCAAATACATGACAACATTAATGTGTTTCAAAGGGCAAAGGACAAAAGGTTATGCATCCTTTCACTACAGGAGGTTGTTTGCTTTAATTTGTTCCATTACAGCTCAGAGCAGAGGCCCGTAACCCAGAACAAACCAAAGCACTATGATGCAGATTTAGCATTGTTAGCACAATCTTTGTTGTCTTCCAGTTATGTGATCAGTAAACAACATGGAATCGCTACAGAGACACAAATCTTAGTTTAAATCTGAAAGTACATTGTGGCCATGTGTTAAAATGACTGACCTCAGTGTAGCTTGGCACCAGATTACTTTCTTCTCCATTTTGCTAACACAGCATTGGCTCACATGTTTTCAGCATCTTGGTTTGCCCGGCCTAGATTTAATTTTGAAATTGCGATGCAATACAAGGTAATAAATGGATCAATTCTTCAACATGTTAAGCGATTAAATCATTTTGGATTACGCGGCACATAATATTACAAATGATATTTTATGGCAGTGATCCATGGAAATTATTTAACATCTCAAACCTAAATAGAAAATATAAATTCTGCTTAAAATGTCCTTACTTCATATTCTCAAATAACTTGCAAAGGAACAATTGTTTAAAAATATATGAAACTGGATTTAGCTATTTATTCATGTATTATTTAATTGTTAGAAAAAGCAATATTTAAAAAACACATATTATCAAAAGAATGTTTTATATGTTATAAAAAACGACACGTTTACTAAAATAGTTATGGAATAAATATTGTGCATTTAAGTGGTATTTTATGTATTTCATTTACAACAAAAATATGTGACCTAATACTTTAAAAACCAGCAGAGCCAACAGGTTAGTGAATGTCATCTCAAAGCAGGCCCTATCCATCTCTATGCATTGTTTAGATAAGTAAGGATGACGTTTAATCCTTCCATTTATTACTTTTGTGCTTTTGTGGTCTGCCTTTCTGGTTAACCTCGGCCCGATATGAGTGCCAGGGATCATGAATAGATTGCAGCTCATTGTGGCATTTATAGGCCCCGCTTGGCACCTGGCTGACACACATCTGCAGCGTCTGTGTTTCCTGGATGAGGAGATATTAAAAAAGCGCGGAGACAGAAGAGTAATAATGGCCTCTGCTCCAGCCACAGCCCTTCTTATTGAAACGTCTGAAGGTATTAACAGAGAAAGCCCAGGGTTCGGCTTTGGAGCTCATTAGGCCGCTCTCATCTCCCGGGGTTTGAACCAATAAACATGGCAGCCAGAGGCCTTAGATTACACTTAGCTGCGCACACTAGCCCGCTTTTAGTGGAATCGATTACTACTTAACTCTGCTTCTCCTTAAAGTGAGTGATATCACTGTTTACTGTGTGTGTGTGTGTGTGTGTGTGTGTGTGTGTGTGTGTGTGTGTGTGTGTGTGTGTGTGTGTGTGTGTGTGTGTGTGTGTGTGTGTGTGTGTGTGTGTGTGTGTGTGTGTGTGGCATATTTGCATTCGAATAGAATATATCTTGTCATCATACAAAGTTCAACGACATTTCTTTGGCAACTCTCACAGCAGTAAAAAATAGACACAAATAAATAATTAAGAGTGGTAATAGCAGAGGTAGTAGCGATGACAGTGCAACGAGATGAAATGTCAACGTGCATATTTACACTAACAGTCTAAAATGTGTGTGTTAGCAATGGGTTTGTCTTATTGCACACACAGGCGCCGGGTATCAAACCTCAATACATTATTAGTTTCAACAAAGCTATCGACATTTAAAAAATGGTTTCTTAAAATCTTTCCTTTTTGTTTAGGTCTTACTTTTTCAGAAATGTTCAGTTTATTGTTTTTTTTAAATATTTGTCTGTGTTCTTTTTTAAGCTTGGTAGATTAGAATAGAATATAATTGTCATTATACAGGTACAATAAGATGAGTAGAGCTAGGGTTAGGTAACAATGGAGAAGCCAACAAGGGTAGTCTAGATTTTTAAGACCATTTTCTAAAATACCATTTTCTAAAATACACCCCCCCCCTTAGCTTACACTTAAAGCCAAAATATTAAACATGTATGTAGTATTTAAGATTATTTTCTACGTGTATTTTTAGAGACTTCTGGATAAAAGTGTAATTTTGGTATTGGTACAGTTTGGTAATTTGTAAACACAGTATTTTATTAAGTGTAGACGCTGTTGCCGTTACAAGTTTGATGAACCTACTTCATTATACACTCCTTAATGTAGAGGCTCAAGAGGCACATATATTTTCTCACTATAGTTCATCTAATTGATCAATTTGTTCAGAGTATCTATGTCAAGTTCTTGTGTCCTGGGAAAGAGACATTTGAGTGGTGGCATTGTTTGTTTATGTATTGTTTGAGTGTAGGGAATTATTTAGTCAGAGAGAAATTCTCACCTTTCAGGGAAACCAGTAGTTAAGTGTTGTTCCCCCCCCCTCTTCCTGATACTGTCCACTCAATGTGTTTCATTGTTTATTGTGCTCCGAGTTGTTCAAGGCCTTACGGAGAGTTGAAATTGGATCATGATGGATAGTGTTCGAGTAGCTCTGGACAACAGATCGGTTCATTCAGTGGGCTGTGTTATTGTATTTCATGTCAGAGCGAGGAGGGAGAGTTTAAAAGGAAGTGTTTTTGAAGCAGTAGCAACGTGAGGTGATGCTCATTTCAGGCAGGTTGTGTTGCCCTGTGTCACGCAGCGCTCTGACATATGTGTGAGTGTTTATGTACATCACAGCTCTGTTAAAAAAACATGAGCTGCCGCATTCATTTATCTCTGTTCCACTTGTTTTTTAATCTCATGAACTCGGAAGTGTAACCCTCAAATGGGACGGCTAATGTGATTACCTCCCTCTTGTTAGGTTATCAAATTGTGTCTAAAAATAAAAATGTGTTTATTTACTTTAATATGACGTATGACTGGCCAACATCATTTGTCAGAAATTTGAATTTTTCTTGAATATATTTGATCCCATTGTTGCCTTTTTATTTATAGGAACAGTTTGCATTTGACATATGAAGAAGCACACTGTCTTTTTTAGTTTTTGCATTTATTTCTAATTGTCACATGGTTTACTTCATCACCGCAATGTTGACAGTACTAGTTAAAACTTGTTTGAGTTAATTGTACTCCAGGTGGATTTGTACAATTACTAAAAAAAAATAGCAATTACAATCATCTAGCTGTGTCTTCCAATATCTCCTGATCCAGTGTTGAAGATAATGTTTTAGCAACAGTTGATATAAGAAGCCAACAGGACATTAACTTCCTGTTGGAAATATTCAAATTAAGACACGCCCCTTCTATTCCTTCGTCCTAAACCACACAACGTCATCTCATTGGAGCCTTTTTGATTTACAGTCTGTCCTCCACACCTGTTGGCAGTGATTGACAGCCAGTGGGACTCTCTATCT